AGCCATGGAAGCACAGTGAGGGAGCTCCCTACATGCTTCATGTACTGTTCAGAGGTACGGCAGGGGGAGTTTTATTACTGGGAAGGTGGGCATATGTGCGAGCTCAAAACAAACACACTGAAAGAGGAAAATATCCTTGAGCTCAGAGAGACCATGAGGATTGTAAGTTGTGCTGACAGTGCCTTTCAGGGAAAACGATTTAAAGACTCTCCAGATAAGTCACTGTCTTGGAAGTCAGCTCAGTGGAATCTGTATGTAGTCAATTACAGTAATTGGGTAATTTAAAATACGCTTTGCTCAGTTTGTGCTTCATTAGAGTCCTGATTTACATGACAAGGGACACTGAGGATGAGGAAGCCTGTTCTTCCATTTACACTTTTCTTATAGTATGAGATAGGTCAGCATCTTGGTATTGCTGGCCAAAGCCTCTGAATTCAAAAGCAGAAGTCCTGTACATCCCAGAGTAGGCATATATGCAGATGACTTGCACCTACAATAAGGTGGTGAGTAGAATTTATTTTCAGCATGGAGCCATGTTACTATGCAATTTGAATAATAATCTTTATTAGCTAACTTTTCTTGTCACAGTTTAGGCTGGTGCAGCTTCTGTCCTTTAAATTAGTTTCCAGAATACTTGACAGATAAAACAGGATGTCTGCCCTCTTAAAGCTTCCTTGCTGTTAAGTCAGTAATACCACAGAACATACACAAGTACTTGTTCAGGCTGCTGACAGTTTAAGACAGTTATGAGCTGAAATAATGAAACAAAACAGGGCATGAACAAAAATCCTGACTATTATTTAAATTATCCTTTAGTTATCCCAAATTAAACTTCCTCAAGAGTATCTTGTAGTATAAAAACCCTTTTATTTTTTTCCAAGACAGATGGTGCTTGCCCCAGACCACTTCCAAGGTAGAATGGAACAGTTGACATCTTTAACTTGAAGACGTCTGTATGTCTGTTTTGCCATCAGGCAGGAAACACCCAAGGTCCATCAGGACTCAGGTCTGTGAGACTGCCAAGGTCTTGCAGTGGGATCCAGCACAAGTGATGAGCTGGTACGTTCCTCTGGTGATGTTTATTGTGGCTCCCAGACACCTATTTGACATCAACAGTTGTCATCTCCAGGATCTTTTAAGTATCTTGGAGAGCTCTAGCTCAAAATCAAGCAAGTTAAATTCAGTACAAACCAAGAATTTAATAACATCCTATTTTAAGGGGTTTTTCAGCTTCCTCACATTCCAAACTGGGACATCCTTAATCATTAGTGATGAAGGTGACATTTCATGTTCTGCTTCATACATAAATATGAATCTCAAGTATTGAAGAATCTGGAAGGGAATGGAACAAACCAGCCTGAAAAGAATTAGCAGGGAAGTAATATTACCATCGTAGAAAATACGTGGCTGGGAAACTACCTCATTTGAGTTGATCTCCACATCTGTGTAGCTTTTCAATTATACTAGTTCTTCCTGTGGGCTCTGAGGTGTTACTTCCTTCTTTTTTTTTCCCCCTATTACATGTGTCCTTAAATGGATGATAATTGTTTGGTGGAGGAAGAGTAATTTTACCTCATTTAAAGGAGTGAATGAAGGATTTCTACAAGTTGTAAGCTGTTTGGGACCTTTTAGCTAATTGTGAATCCCTTTCTCCAAAGAGTCAAACTGCTCTAAAATCCAGCTTCTGAGCTCCAGCGCTCGAGGCATGTGTCCGCCTCCCCACCGCGCTCCTTCCTCCCCTGTGTCAATGGGTCGGATGAACAGAACCAGGTTAGGGAGCAGCTGCGTGCACAACGTAAGCCAGCAGAAGAGGCTCGGGGGTCAGGTGGGGGCAGGGACCTCTGTGCAGTCCAAGCAAGAGCGTCTTTTGCTGCATTCCAGTAATGCGAAGACACACACCTGAGTCTACCGAGTTTTACTCTGCACAAAACGCCAAGGGTCGCAGAGCCCCGTAGGGTGGGGGAGGTGATGGGTCTGCATTTGTGTATGATGTTCCTGGTCACTGAGGACAGTTCAGAAATAGGCTTTTGGGAGAAGTTGACTTATATACGTTCCACTGTCTACGTCCTCGCTTTCAGACCTGCGACCTGCTGTCTCTGGAATCACGTCCTCATCCTTTTCTTTGAATAGTAAATCTCATGATAAATGTTTTCTCTTTCATACTGTTAAACTGAGCTTCGTGGCTACGTGCAGCTTGCAGCTTACCTGTTACCAAATGCAGTGTCATGGTTCACCGTACCCATAGGTGGAGATACCTGGGGTTATTCCGTGGACTGTACTAGAATTCAGATCTTGTCTTTGCACAGGCAAGAAACTCAGTTTTTTGAAAGCCAGGGAAGGCCATGTTACCTTGTGAGCGAGTTGTGAGCTGGTGCAGACACCAAGCGTGTAATTCACCACTTCTACAGGATCTGTGAACAGAGACATATTGCTTCCAGCCCTGTGGATAAAAGTCGCTTGCTGGCTTACACACGCTGCAATAAATCCTGCCTGTCTTTGGGCCGCTGCTGCATTACGCAGCAAACAACTTGCTTGTGTCTTCCCTGGTACTGTCGCACAGCAAGTGTAACAAGATTTATCCTCCCAGGTACCTTGTCTGAAGCTATTGCCTTTAATCCAGCTGCTGAGGAGGTTAGGATTTATGTACTGGAAAACGACAAGGTCTACGCTTCTGTGGGCCTTGAGCAGGACTTGAGCGCACATGTACCTTAGAAAAGTGAAGGAAATCCTTCTCTGGGGGGAAAAGAAGTGTGTGAAACTATTTACTGCCACCTTCTGATTTGTGCCCTATCTCTTGTAGCTTGAATGAGAACTCGCAGTCCAGCTTTCCAAGTCCACAAAATTACTTTACCTTAAGCTTGTGAATTACCCAGCTTTGTTTCTTTTCCTCAGTGTCTTTTTTTTTACACAGGTTTCTCAGATGATTTATTTGAAATACGTTCAGTAACCTGTAAAGAACTTCTCTTAAATGCATTTTCAGCATTTTATGATGATAAAAACCAACTTGAAGTGCTGATCCTCAAACCGAAAATGGAGTGTCTTCATTTTGCTACAGCATCACTCAGGAGTATGAAAGATGTCAGTAACAGAGAGGGTTTCAACTCTATACAAATCTTTCTCTATCAAGTAGAGGCTTAAATTAAAAAAAATGAGAAGTGTGGGTTTTGGCTTTTAAGATGCTGGAGCTCTTTAGCATTTTACAGTTGAAGCCTGATGCTTCAACTACTAAGGTGAAAGCTGCTCGTTAATGACCTGTAATGAATATTTCATTTTCTCTCCATATATGGAAACAGAATAAAAAACTAAATGTAATGAAAATTAACTGTAAGAATGACACTGATCAATCACAAAGAACAGCATTTATTAAAATGACCTGGAAAATATATCACATGCCACCTGCCACCATTTAGACCACTTCAGATATTTTACACAGCTTTAGTAAACGGGATGTTCACAGTTGCTCTCTCAACCAACGTAGAAACATTTAAACATTTTATTGGAGCAGTAAAAAGTCCTCATCTTTGAACTTGCTCTCAATAATGTGAGATACACAAAATCGTACGTCCGCAGACATACCTCTTCCCACCCCTTGCCGCTGTCAAAACCAGAGTTTACAAAGCAGCCGTGTTCTCTGACGGCGAAGGTCTAAGTCTGACTGCTGAGTGTGCACTGGTGGAAACATCTGCTTTTGCAGATCCCGCTCTTCTCCACAGGAGTCCCACTATTTAGCATGCTGCAAGGAAGACCTGCCTCGAATGTAGTCAATGCAGTCTTCCTGTAGTTTTCAGGGGTGTCAGGACCAAGGGTGCCTTGGTTTTAACACCAACACTGTAAGAACTCTCTTGAAAAGGCATGTCTTCATTATGGAGAACGTACGGAGAATTGGAGGCAAGCTCTATGATTACATCTGTAACTTTCGGTTGGAAAGACATTACTTCCAAAGCAAAATCCCCTTTTAATAGTTCTCAAGAATATTCTTTTCCCTTTTTTAATGTACCTACTAAAACTGCTTAGAATCTCCAAAGTAAAATTTAAGTGAATTCTTTATGTTCTTCAGCACTCTCAGCATGGAAGGCTAGAAACTAACAAAGCGCAGAGCTGATAACCATTGGAGACAAGTGCTGTGATGCATCAAGCTGTACATGGAAAGGGGTGCCTATCCGTGTGGATTGCATTTGGGGATTCTGGGTATCAGTTCAGGAGCTTTCGCTTGACACAGTTTTTAACTCTGTTGGTCCAAGTTTCATTAATCCCCATAAATTCTAGTCTCTGCTATTCCCAAATCAGTATGTTCAGTGAAGGAGAACTCAGGTTGAAAAAGAAGAATTCATAGTTGATTTTTTGCTCTCATCCTAATCAAAACTGGATATACTGAAGGAAGCGACCATGGATATCCTGTATCAGCTGTATAAATTGTACTATTTAAGTGTTGCATGTAAGCGCTACAATCCCAACCGGATTTGTGACTTGGTAAAACACGTTTAGAACCTCATTTTGGATTGGGCCTTGACTCAGATTTTCTTCATCCTACAATACAGATAGTTAATGTCTAACTAATGGAGTTGCTTGCAAGAAGACGACAAACATCTGTTGTTTTTCAAACTCCCAGCGGATGCAGAAAGATGAGTTGATATGCTGGTGCAAAATTGCTCTTGTATAATTGAAGAAAATTGCTTATATGTAACCAGAAAGCACTGGAGTGATATGGTAATACGTGAACATCTAAATACGAAATACCTTGTTCATTTAGTAAAAAAGTCCAGAGAAAATGTGGTATCAGTGAAACTTGTCTTAAATGACCAATAAAAATATGCTGCTTAAATTAAGTATCTTATCAGAATTATTTCTAAGATAAAATAAGCATGACTGTACTAATTATGTTTACGGATAAATACTAGGCTTAAGAGAGAGCGAGCTTCACAACCTTTGCTCTCTTGTTTAAGCTCAATTATATCAGGTTTTTTTTGGTGGTAACTATGTTGTGTGCTGATGAGTGTCGTCTAATCAGTCTTTTTAGTTTTCCTGTAGTGCAGGATTGTGGCTGTGACCCAAATATTGAGAATGAGCATGGTTATGAAACGGATGAGAACTACAAGGGAAAAAAAAAATCTTGTAAGCATAAATCCAAAAGAATCAACTGCTGTCATTTTCAGAAGAGACATTGTTTTGTAAACTTTCACTGGTGTACAAACAGGCTGGTTCCCACTCTTTTTCAGTCAATTAGTTTAAATTACCATGTACAGGAACTGAGAAATTCTCGAAGTAAATATAGCAGAGAAGAGCATTTAGCATTTGCAAGTGGTATCTGAAAAAAATACAGCACCTTTAATTCCTTTGTGATGAAACCAGGTGAACAGTACGATTTTGAGTAACCTCAAATTTACACCTAAATTAAACTTGGGAGCCGCAGCTCATGTGTCCTTTATAGTTGTGTTTTGTTTATAGTAACAGGATCATTCTCTACTGCTGTCTGTTAAGTTTAGACTTCAGGGAGACAGGAAATAGTTGTATCTGACAGATTTTAATGGGAGGAAGTCTGACAACAGAAAAAAAGCAGTTTTCCAGTATCTTGATTAAATTTAAGGGTTTTTTTTAATAAGCATAGCATCTCTACCTGTGAGACCACAGTTTGAAGTACAGGTATATCTAATATCCATTATTCCATAAATGGAATATTCACAGAAACGTACACAAAACTTTGTTTCAGAAATACGTGACATTTGACCGTTTCATGCAGGTGTATGAAACCAACATGAACATGCTGAAGTTGTCAGTTAGAAGCTGACTGGCAACATTTTCCACTAGGGCAGCACAGTACCAATGTTTGCTGCCATCTCTTCCATGTTCCGAAGTGTACTGTGCTGTATGTTTAAAGCAGCCTTAATCAGGGCCAGCTTTACTTTCAAGAGCCAGCTTTTTACTTCCACGGTAGTTTTCTCTCTTCCTTCCTTCCCTCAATATGCCTCTCTTGCTACTCATCAGCGTAAGCGTGTCGCTGTGGGTGAACTGGACTCGACAACTGACCCAGACTAAATTTCTGCCTGTGCATTATTCAAATTTTTTGGTGATCCAGTCAACTGCCCCAGAAACTCCTACTCCAGCAAAGGGAAAGCAGCAAGCACGGGGGTGAAAATGAGTGACAGAAAAGGGGACTTCCTTTTCCAGTGAAAGAGCCACTTGAACTGCTTGTGAAACTAGAGCCTTATTGTGCTGCAGAGGACTGCTTAAAAAAAATAATGAAGCCATTCATACGATGTTTCTGATGAAATATCAGTTCTGAACTAGAACAAGGAACCACCAAATGAAGTACAATGTGATTTTGTTACTGTTCTTACATCCACCAAGCCTCGATTTCCAACTGTTTACTGACAAATCTGCTGCACTCCTTAGCCATTTCAGTTTTGTCAGGATGGTAAGAAGCTGTTAAATAAGCCTGCTTTATAATGAAATCTGCTGCAAATTATGTATTTTAAGCTATTTTTGGTGAGTTTCTCACCAGCCTACAATTTCACTTTCGGCCTGCCACCAACTTTCTGTATGTTGTGCCTAAAACCATTCATGTGCTAAGCTGAACTTTTTAAATAGTTTTCTAGAAGAATTTTTTAATGCACAAACCCCCAATAAGAAAAGGAAACGCTTATTATTTGAAAAGCTATCGTTCAGTTATTACAGATTTTTAAGTTGTATTTTTCTAAATGAATTTATTTAAATAGTAAAGATTTTTAATACTTTATTCTGCTATTTTCATAATTAAGTTAATTTTGTAGTGCTTTTGCCTTTTGAAAAAAATAATGGCTTTTGGACAACTTGTCACCATGTGATAAACAAAAGCAGGGTTTTTTGCTTTCTCCAGGTATTTGACTGATTTGTAATCCTGTGCTACTTTTTTAGCAGTAAGTCCTTCCCTCACTGTGCTAACCCTCCAGGTTCATAGTTTGTTCTTCTCAGACCAGAGAACTGCTTTTACAAAGCAGCTAAAAAACACTGTGGCAGCTGCTACCTTGGAAAGGCAGGCAATTCTGCTTTACTCACCTGCGAGATCATTTGTAGTCATTACAGTTGTAACTATTCTTGCTGTAAATTGAATGAATTCTGATTAGTTCACTAGATACAACATGTTTATACCTTCAAAAAATGATGAAATATCTATTTTTCAGTAGAGCATAATCTCGCATGAAAATACACCTAGTATAGACGTTCCCACCTTTAGTGCATCTGCTCTTCACTACTAGTGTCAGAGATCAAGCTCTCAAAGCTAAGTGACACTGTATTAATGGCCTCTTTAAATGAGAAAATCACTGGCAAGAGTTTTTATATCTGTATTTATGTACCTCACTAGATTGGATGTGGTCAGAGTTTACTGCTCCTCTTGCTGTTCAATAGCTGATAGGGAGCTACACCCACAATGGAGTTAGCATGACCTACCCATTGTGCATGTTCACATGCACGCTTTTAGGCTTCTGCAAATATGAGGAGCTCAGCTTTCCCTCCCACAAGAAATCTACACAGTAATTACTTCACATTTGCAGCAAACTAAAACCATTTACAGAGTTTATCGCCATTGTTCAGCGAACATACCAAAACTTCTAATTATTGACTTGAAAACGTTTGTTTCATGGGGAAATAGATCCAGCATCACTATGTTTTGTAGGAAGAATATTCTAAATGAGTTTTGGAATATGACAAAGGCACTTCTGACAAATAGCTGCAGAAAGACTGTTCATGGAGTAATGAGCACTAGGTAATGAGCACGTGAACTGCACAAATCACTATTCTTGGTACGTTCTTAAATTCTCCTCTGTTGAGAAATGTATTTACACGAAGTCTTAGAGTTAAAGCTATTTAGCATTAAGTGCATATTTATTTGTAGATGACTTTTCAGAATTAGCGTTGTCTGATTAACTCAAAATTTAGCACCTTTTCATGCTGGATCACTAGCAATTTTATTAAACCCTAGAATATGAAAATCTTTTCTTCACAAAGATGCTCTCTCAGTTCCCTTGACTGTATCTGCATGTTTGCTAAGTCAAAGTGTCATTGGTGTCAACGATAAAACTTGATTTCCAAGAGCCTGTCAGAGTCTCAGAAGTCAGCACTAAGACAAACTACATTAGGCAAGGTTTTTACCTACTGTGATGGAGACCCATTGAAAGAGGCATTAGGAGGAGATACTGCTTTAAACAAGGAGAGCTCAGTGCTTCGCACCAAGGTGCCCGTGGCTTACTTGCGCAGGTATACGCAGACATGCTCCAGGTCAAGGCGCTCACTTGTCCAGAATCTTTTGTCTGCCAGAGACACCGCAGCTGAGCCAGCTTACTGGCCGCACTGATGAGTGTGCACAAATTCTGAAAAGCAGGTAAAAAAAGAGAAAGAACCTCTGCCTCGGCCATTGTATTATCCGAGTGTTCAGCTTACAGCTGTTAGTATGTAACTGACTAAAATCCAGGACTAGCTTTTTCATTTAGAACAAAATAAAAACCGTTTTCAGGATGTGGCAACCCAAGCATTTCGGCTTCTTGCTAAGGAACCGTGAAGGAAAAAAATTGAAGCTGCCAGAAGCAAGAGACTGATTTCTGAGGTACTGCCCAGAAAGAAGCTCAAAGAGCACAACGATTGCTACTGCTGTCGGCAAATGCTTGATAGAGGCAAATGCAAGAAGCAGCAAAGAAATAAAAAAGCCTCTCAACCTGCTACATAAAACTGTTTATGAAAGTTGGCTAAAATGAGACTGATCGAGTCTAAACAGCAAGGTTGATTCAGACCATCTGTTACCATTATGTCTGGCAAGCTGAGCCATAAAAGAATGAAAAAACTGACAAGAATGTGTGGAAAATGAGTCCAATTGGTGGGAAAAAATAACGAAGGGAATGGACTATTCACTCTGTCATCTTTTTAAGAGGGATTTTGCAAAGGCAGCGGGTAGAGGGGACCTTCCTGTGGTCATGCCCAGATTTCCCTTGCAAGTAAGGATCCGTGTTAGGCTTAGAAGCTTTTATCCCCCTTTGTATCATTTTTGCATTAGCAACTCCCGTTCATCTCAACTGAATTTTAACTTTCTCTCTTCTGATAAAAAGAGCACAGACCATCTTTAACCTACGTAGAGCATTATCAGATGCTATTTTTCTTGCAAAATTCTAGGACTAAAGGGAAAAAAAGATCTTGTGAAATATTTAACATTCCCTATTTCAAATGCTTTGACCAATGGTCTGTTCTTTTCCTCTCACGTTAAAGGCTTATTAATGGGGATTACGACATTAGGACTAAAGAGGCAATCTTTTTTCAACATCCTAAACCTTTGCTAGTTTTAATTAAGGCACCACAATTAATAACTTTACCTCAGAACATACTTTTTTTTTTTTTCCTCCAGAGTCTATTGCAAGTGCTGTGTTTTCCAGCCACTCGCAGAGAGAGAACCAGCTGTATTTGAAAACCGGCTTGTTCTGAAAGCTAACCTAAATGATGAACTCTTCCAAAGTCGAACATAAGGAGAGATTTCATTGATAAAGACTTCCAGAAAAAAGCCATTTCGTATGAGGACCTAATTTCAAATAATCATTCAGCACTTACCATGGCCAGGTCTATTATCCACTTCCGCAGCGTTAGCACATACCAGCCCCCCCCAAATCTTACATTATGTTAAGTTTCATAGCACTGAAAGCTCTTGAAACTGCCTGGGGAATTAGATTTTTTTTAAACATCTGGAAATAATCTTATTGAAACTTTCTAGCAGACTATACAATCTAGATAAAATATATTAAGCACTGGTTAAAACACTTAAGTATTCCTATTTTTCACACTGTAACAGTGCCTGGAGTTTCTCAAGATTTGCTCCAAAGCATAAGACTTGAGATTTAAGCCCAAGTCCTATTTAAAAAAAAAAAAAACAAACAATGCTGTGTTCATCATTGCAAGTACAAGCTGCATGGGTAGGAATCAAAGGAAAAAGATTCATCATTTCCACCCTGCATCTCTAGCAAAGATGTAAATTAAGAATTGGTCTTACTCCTTATTGGTTGTGAGCCTTCTAAAGTGCAGCTCCATACAAAACTTACTTCTCGTAGAGATTTTATTGTGATCCCCAGAAATCAGCATGTGAACGTGGAATGCATGTTGAGGGGTGGCTGAAAATGATTTACAATGGTAGCACAAAACAAATGATGACATAGCTGCTATGCAAAGAACTACCAAACAAGCTACATAAACCAAAATTCCCAGATTTCAAAGGATACGTGACTGCATAGAACAAAGCTCGTTTCGTGTTTCCACTAAAACTCAGAATAAACAAAAGGAGAATGACATCTGAAATAAAAAAAAAAAAGATTGCTCGTCACAGAAGCGAGAGAAAGGGCGCAAATGCAATCCTAGACAGTTCCACTGGGCACCATGTCTACTGAAACCTGTTCCTTAGAGGTTTTGTCTCTCAAATTTGATTGATGTCCAAAACACTGCAAGCTCCAAAATGAAGAATGAAGCTTTTCTTAGAGTCTGGAATGTTTATGTTTCTCTCCCATACGTAGTCACCAGATAAAGGATGAGCTTACACTGCAACTCCACTGTGTGTGTATTAATTACATCTTTCTACTCTACCTGACCATCTATTTTCATAAAATTTATAAGAATTCAATTATATTTGAGATGTTCATTCCCTCTTCCCCCTGACTCCTGCTAGAACTGGTCGATGGATTCACATCACTGCAGTGGAGTACTGTACCTACATGCAGAGCCTCGGAGTGCTGAATGAGACCCGTTCTATTTCCAAAGCACGGCTTAAAGAAATTACCTTGTGCAATGATGATGGGATATTCCAGGTATGTCTGCAGAGGGTAACCATAATAGATCTGGTACCTCAGAAACACAAGGAAGCTGAACAGAAAAGACACAAAAGAGCATGACTGCAGGAAGGGACAGGACAGCTCCTTCACAACTCCTTTGTTACTGTTTTGGTCGTGCCAAAAGGCTCCAGACGGATGTAGCTGTCAAACTGATCAAAAAAATATGAACACAAAGTGCAAGCGTGATGATTCTGTAGTCTATTTCTGTTACCCTCAAATAGAGTAAGATGTAGAAAGCTGCGCACACTTCTTGTCAAGGTCTTTGTGTCACAGTGTATAAGGCATAATTTTATTAATTACAACTGATGAGAAAGAAATAAAGGCTTCCAGACCTAGAAGACACCTTCTCTGCAATTGCCTTGGGACCTCTGGGATAACTCTGATTTCTTTATTTATGTCTGTAGTTCAGTCTGTACTTTAAGCAAGTCTTACATCTTCCAAGCTGTCTAGACTACCCCATTACAAGATTGCCCAGTGTAGCTGTACTGGTCAAACTGAGAGTTTGTTTCTAAATGCACCAAGCAATGGCAACTCTCTTTCCTGCCATTCCACAATATAGTATCTAAAGGGAATTGAACTTTTACCATGTTTTCTTTACTTTCTTCAATTTTAATGCAAGTCCATGAGGTTAGACAGAAACTTCAAGGCCACAGAGAAAACAGAAATGAGTCTTGGGGCAATTTTATGTAAGGAGAAATCGATGGTTTCTGGTGTAGAAAGATGGCATCAGGAACTGCCTACCCTGTAAGAAACTGGGTTTTACAGTATTCAGAACTAAATATCTCAGTATTCAGAACTAAATATCTGAACTTCCTCGAAGTCTTATTTCTTGAAGGGTCAAATGAGACTCCTTGCCACCAGCACCATGCTTCTGTGTCACTCTTGTGCCACGTCACTGCATGCTGACTCTGCAGAACCATCACAGTTTGCACCAGTAGCCCCAAAACTCCATGGACTCGAAGTCTTTAAAGGTTGTAGGATGAATAGTCTACTAAATAAAAAACCAGTCCCAATAAATGTTTCAAAAAAGCCTCCTTGCATCTCTTTCAAAATATCTTTGCCCTGAGCAGGCACAGAACCTGCAGCGGGTACTGTGGTTATCACACAGGTGCTGAGGAGACATTTATGGCTTCCCCGTATTCATGTGAAACTACTTATAAAGACTTTTCAGTGCACATCAACACACAGGAATGATTTTAAAATACTAGCACTGCATTTTGGCCGGGGCTGTGGGGTGAGTTATCTCTGCTGCAACCAGAATTTAGTTCACTTACTCTGAGGTGAGCTAAGGGTAAACAGCAACAACAGGAGTTCAGTGTCACGAAGAGACACAGGCGGCGAACGGCCATGGCGGAGACCAAGGGGATTCTGCACAGCTCCATGCAGAAAGGTGTCTGTACGCCTAACCCTCCACAGCGCCAGACCGGGGTCAACAGCAGTGCCCCTCGCTGAAGACAAGGCACAGGCATGTTTAGAAATGACATGCCATTTTTGTGAGGTGATTTTTCTGAAAAAAAGTGCCCTTTTTTAGCTTGGTGCAGAGAGGTAGCAGCCATCGGCTGGACATTCTGGCCACCTCCATCACCAGGTTGAGCAAATACAAGGGTCTTCAAGGTATTTTCTCTCACATGCTTGTACCCACATTTGCATATGCAGTTTCTCGATTTTCATTTCATATGATTCTCTCAAAGCAAGATGTAGTAAGTCTAGCCCATGTAAGCTTACTACTGACTGCCAGATCTTTGGAGTTTGACATGGTTTGTAATTTTCTTAAAGACTGGTTATGTTTTACTTAGTGGGGTGAGAGAAGCCTGTCTAACTGGTACAATTGCCTGCACAACAGGGCAGAGGGACCATCACATAACCTACATACACGGCTTAAACTCAGCTTACTACTGGAGGTGTTGTCTCCGGCTACGTGGGCAAGTTAAAAAAAGCCGTTTCCCTTTTACCAAAGCGCGGAAACGCTGTAAAATAGGAAGTTTCTGCTCCAAAGGGCTCGTAGGCGCGGTGAGGGCAGGGGCGGCACCGCACACGGCGTGGCGGCGGGCCCGGCAGGGTGACCGCCAGCTACGAAAAGGAGCGCGTTTAGAGCCGGGGGGGAGCACGGACTGCCC